GGCCTCATTGGACCCCGCTGTGAATTCCTGCTTGGGTAAACTGGCTGCCAGCAACTGTTCTAACGTTTATGCATGCATGTTGGTTTTGGGCGAGGAATCACGTAAGCATACGTGGAAAGATCATCTTGCGTAAGAACGGCGGTCAGCGTCCCTCTATTGTTGTTGCATGACAAAATAACCTGACTATCACGTTCATTGGGAAGTTTCACCGAAACGCCTAAAGTAAAAAAAACTAGGCATGACTCCAACAACTTAACTAAGTATCCTATCGGAATTCCGTGCAGTTTAACATCTCGTACTTTCTGCCCTAGAATGGATACACATTTCGGGTTTCTTCAGCCATATTTACTGATATCATCGTCGTCATCATCATCATCGTCGACAGCATAACATCAGTGTTCAACACCGATGCTTCACTGCCGTACAACCATGACTTATTTGAAAGCCTTATTGTAAAGAAAAGAATAAAGGTGGATGGGGGAGGGACTTAGTGCTAGCTTAACACAATCATTCCGAGGTGCCTACACCTCCAGACATTCACTCAGGCAATCTGGACAGAAACTGACAACAAGAACGCCACTGACATCGGTTGGCAGCCATATCTTGTAGTGTCTCCAACCAGGCACAGTGAGGATCACGCGGTCCCCATCCTGGAAGGCGAGTAGCACCGACAGCACCCAAGCGTTTCGTGATCTCCTTCACGATCCTCTGCCAAGTCAAGGGTTGGTCACCTCTCTGTTTACGCCACTCCGAATTGGGCAAGGAAAACAGTACTCTCTTCGGCAAACGATGGTTTGGCATACGCTGGATTTATCATCCTTTCCGTCTTCTCTTCGTCCAGGAAAGATCATCGTCCCATCGTTAGATCGTCAAAAGATTTCGCAAGATGTAGTGCATTGACAAAGAAGGCCTTCGTTGACTTCACAGCAGACAAGAGTAAACAAGTGTTTGTTAGAACCCCAACCGAAGAATTTCCTTAAATGTTCATCAACCTATTCACAGAGCCAACTCCTTCTCATGCACTCCGTTGAAGTACAAAAAGTCGCCTCCCAGAACTCGCGTTCATCCTGATTTCGTGTTCCCCCACTTGGCCTGGTGGCAAGTTGGCTCACCCCGATGGTCGATTTTCTCTCCCTTTCGGAAACGAAGGTGATGAGGCATAAAGATGTGAACTTATCATACGCGCAGTTTTCAACCTGAGACTTCGTGGTTTCGGCAGGGCTCAAATTGAGAACGTCTGGATAAGTGTAAATCTAACTCACAGGATATCGTCGCCAGTAGAGTTCTTGACTTTGGTTTTACGTCCTTGCCAGTGATGTAGTAGAAAAGAGGTCGAATGATGTCCTCCAAAATCACAGTAGCCAGACTGTTCACGCCAGAGGAAAGGGTGCTGTGTGGAGTAACAGATACATAAATAATACGCCCACGCTCCTCTTTGGTAGCCAATCGAGACTTAGAAAGACCAGCAACAAGGTACATGGTTTTTATTGTTAGTAGGCATTCGCAGTGAAAATACAAAACAGATTTCAAGTAGACCGTTGTTGGATTGCTCACATTTTGTTCAGTTTTATCGTCGGCGTCAGTACTCTGCGAACTGTAAATGAACAGTTGCTAGGGCGTACCGAACTGTCCTCTTGACTGGGTCCATTACTACACAAAGAGGTAAATGTGTGCATCGCTCCTCTAGATCTTTAGCAACCAGGTAGTAAAATGTCTGGTGGATGATTCTTACTGATGGTAGTAATCAGTTCTATGTCCTGCCGAATTTCGAGTTAATCGCACTGCTGATGATCAGCCGCTTGTGACCAAAGGGTTATATGTTCAGACTACCAGCCGAGAGGTCGCGACTTTGAGATTCCCTGAGTCCCGTGAGAGGTGCATCGTTGGTTATTCCGAATAAGGTTGAAACAACTGTACAGTACATCTCGACATTTCGGCATAGACTGGAAGCCCCACGGTTTGCAATCCTCTTTTAACTTGAGCGGCTCATGAAACAATAGTCTTTTGTGGCCCACCGCAAGCACGCACACTGAGCGTTAAGGAATCACGTGCTCGTGCGCACGTCTCTTCTATTTGATAACTGTCCAGTACTCTGATTGGCTCATGCACATTGGATCGGTGGCCTTCAGTCCCACTGGTCGATTCCTATTTCTAATGTCAGCACCGGCCAACGAACATTCTCCCATTGGTTAACTCTGGGTGAACGGTTCACACACATAAAGCTGCAGTTACACTGAGCGCTTCGCTTAAAAAATCGCCTCGATTGGTGATGAAACAGTTGCCACCTACCACCTAGATCAATGAAAGAAACCGTTGGTGTGTTCCGAGTACAAGCAGTTCAAATTAGAATTACCCTGAAGACAGTGCTGTTACATTAAAATAACAGTTTCTAGTCTTAGATATCGTATTTTGAGATAGCACAGATTCTGATTAAGTTATATCTACACACATTGATAGAAGCCGGTAGCTGAGTAGTAATCACATTTCCCCAGTAATCCGATGTTTTATCAAGAGCCTTTTCCCATGTTTTATATGGTTTACCTACTGGCCTCATAGAGGTCTACGATTCTTCAGCCGACCTGAGGTTGCTATGATCACGCTAAGTTGCTCAGACTAAAAGTTATAGAAATTTAAGGTTTCAAATGTCACTTGTATCCCGACTGATTGACTAAGTTGAGCGTAATTTCCTTGTTCATTCCACATACGCCCATGAAATGTTCCAGCTTCACACTTTTGTCCCTTAGAATGCCATTTTTAGAAGCTATCCAGCCATTCTAACAACCTTGGTGCAGCATTCTTACTCTAACTAAACTGTTTGTGTCCTGTGAACACGATTCGAAAGTTTAATCGGCTCACGGCTCTGCAAACTAAAGTTTAACTATGCTAAAGAACCAAGGAGAGCTCTTACCGTGTTGCAATCTAATTGGAAATACGCAGAAGAGGTCTCAATCTGACAGGCTTCAGGGACAGAGAGGATGAATCAACTTACATGCGATATGCGGATAATAACGTGGCAGGTTAGAGCCCTTCCAGCTTTCCCTCAAGGTGTCTATGGCATGATGTTCCCGCCAAGAAAACTCACCTCGGACCAGTATGTTGCTTTCTGTTTATCCAGACATATGGAGTCTGCAAAAACATGAAACATCAATAAACCGCGCCAACAGCTTCAAGAAAATATCGATCCGTAATGACTCACCTTAGCGAAGCTGCAAATATAATGGACAGGAAAAGGCCACGTATCACGGGAATTCCATCGAAGAGAACCATGACCAAATAGGGCAATAATTGATCCGCTTTCTTTATCAGGCCGGCACCGATCGGGTCACAATCGACAAAGTAAGCGTAGGCAACCAGGCCGGAAGCCAGTTGGATCACCATGAATATTGAATTCATTGGTACGTTCAATAGGATTGCTCTGCAAGAGAAAACAAAAGACCACAGCTAGGCACCAAGGTTAAGTAAGAATGCATTGCTGTGGCTGGCTCTTAAAAACAGCTACAAACCGCAAACTTCCACAGGGTTTTACTGGATATATTAGTGTAGGCACCTAATGGTAGATTAAGGCTGATTGGATAAATTAGCCTACATTAGCTTGGGAATTTCTCACTGCTTGGATCCCACTCCGCCCGTTCCGTTTAAGTTACCTGTCTAACCACAGTAGTTCGCAAGAATGCGCACAGTCGTTCTGTCCTCACTGTTTGCTCCGGACACCCGTGCTTATGTCGGCTTGTCATTCGCTCGATTGATTCTCTCTTCAACAAGATCTCACATGAATTTCCACTCAACATTACTGGTTCTACAACAGATCTCCAGATGGTTCTGTGGTTAGGCGCGTGCTTACTTCCAGGAAGCCACGAGACTCAGATCCAGGCTTGGCACGTCGAGTACTCCCCTCTGGGCTTGAGCAATCTGGCAGTATCTCAGGCCGCGTGCTCCTTTGGGTGGCGTTATGAGTCGTATAAAACACATACAAACAAAATCGACCTATCAAATCAATCAAGGTGGGACAGTCCCCGAAGAGCAGTTTGTCCTAACCGTCTTGGCTTGGAAATCGCAAAGCACATCGACCTTTCTCAGCTTTCGCTACATGATATTTTTGAGGAGTTGCTCGTCCAACCCGAGCCTACTGTTTTTTTCAGGGAGGTTTTGTCCTGTAATTGAAGCTCATTTGTGCTAAAAAACCAAGAAGCATTGTGCAGCTGTTTCGTCCTTGATGGGGATCATCAATACCTCACGAAATTCGGAAGGTTTTGAATCTGCAACACTCCGGTCTGTGGTTGACCATTTTGGCCTCAAGTTGTTGAAAATCAGAGTGATTAGCTAACACGTAGACACGAGATAGAGCTGCTCATCCTTCAATCAAAGAGGTCACACCAAGAGGTCACCCATCGCCTGATTCTTCGAGCGATGACGTCTTAGATGGAAGTTCTACTCATCCTGTGGACGCAATCTTTCCTTATAAATTGATGGTTTTGTGAGGCGGCTCGGTAATTTTCAAATGAAATTTTGTGCTATAAGTGAAGCCAGTCTGTGCTGGAAAGTCCCGAAACACTGCTTAATCCTCATCTGAAATCCTCTGCACCGCAGCTCTCAGGAAACTCCATGAAATTTCAAAACCGTGGCCCATACTTTGAGCGCCGAATCGCTCAGCCACGAGCAGCTGTGGCTTTCATTCCCACGTTTTTCTTAAATTCAGTTCTTCACGGCCACCTCATGAAGACGACCGTCATTGCGGAAGAATCATCCGATTGTGTACACGAGACTCGCGCAGAACAAACAACTCTACCCTACGGGCACATTGTTATCGGAGACGACGTTCCGACAGTTGTACAGAAATCCCCTGTAGCTACCCCGTCGCCCACATGCTCGACTGTTCAGCTCACAGTCGCCCACTGGATCACGAGACTTGTCTTTTTTCATACTCACAAACCACGTCACATTTGAGTGACTCATCGGACATCGATTGTCTGTACCGTCTAGTGAGCGTAGCAACAACCCATGTGCTGACACACCCACGTACACGCAAACGGACCTACATATAGGGAGACCGAACACAATCAGCACTGACTCGCGCGCAGGGAGCGGGAAGTCAACCACTCTCCACAAGTCCACGGACAATTATGGAACACTAGTATCAGCCATACTGCGGAGAGAACACGTTTCCACCGTCGGGACTTTCACCAAGGAACTCTCATGGACGATAATTTCCTCTTTTGACTTGGTCCCATTTTGAACTAATACCCGCACCCATCACGCAAAAGCTGAACTGAACTGTATTATCTCGTAATGTAGTACTCATAAGGTTGCTGAAAATTTGTCGACAGCCCACGACCGGTTTCACCCTTCTTGGGGCTCATCAGGAAGGTGCAGTCCCCGAGTTTCCGTCAACCTCATGTTCTACTTGAAACCAAATTGCACAACATTAGCGAACCACACTCATTTGCAAATTAATTTGCTTTTTTTTGGAAATATTATAACCGAGAGATTCAGCCGGGTTCCAAGTGAGTCTCTCGAAAAACCAAATTAATTTGCAAATGAGTGGATTTCGCTAACTTGGATATTTCTTTTTTCAGAAACTTTATTCTTTCTTTATTACCTCCTAGTGTACTTTCTCACATCGATTTCTGTTCTCGCCTCCACTCACCGTATAACATTAGTATTCAGTTAATATTAGTACTGCATAGCTTAAAGCTAGCAGATGACCGGGAGTCGATTCAATCGAACCGTTCGGTAGAAGCCTGTAGCGAATAGACGTCTTAATGCAGACACGACGCACTAACCGAATCCAGAAGGCATTGTGCGGTTAACCATTCACAAACTCGTCATCAGCTCAAAGTAAGACCATATATGTTGATTCCTTCCTTCTATTTTTATATTGTACAACGCGATTCTCCCTTTTCGTTACTTTGGTTTCCGCCTAAGCCACCCTTCTTGTTTTTGACCTGAACATAAACCGTTCTTTGATCTTGTCATCGGACGTGTTGTTTAAGTTTACACGTGGTTTCGCTAGCTCGTAAACACGTGGCTCCGAGTCGGCGTGGACTTTGAGACCCGTTAGGAATTAGCAGTTCCTAAACCGGTGTATAGAAGCCGGCGTAGTCCCACGATTTGAGGTTTGTAAAGCTTTATCATTTTATTATTGTACTTATAGTACCGCATTTATAGATAAACCTCCATTTGAAAGAATTGGCTTTTGGGGATTTGCGCGTAACTCGACCTGGTTCAACAGATTGCTGGAATCAATCTATAATATATGAGTAGAATTCACGGTACCCAAGTGTTAAACTGTTTAGAATAGGCTTTCAATGTTCACCTGCGAGCAGTTCTCATATCCTTGCATGCCAGGTACCGTTGGATTTGCGTTTGATTAGCTCCAAATATGCCAAGCATCATTCCAGCTCCTCCGAACGCGAGGGCCCACACAGAATGTCGTCTTAGAGGATCGAAACTGAAGCTGTAGAAGAGAATAGTTGAGGAAATGGGGGAAAAACGTGGGAACCAGGTATTGCCATCAAGACTGCAGTAACTTTTGAACTAAAAGCATGCATACGAACCGTAAGGACCAACCTGAAAGACTGGAGACGCTTCCCCTCCCAGGCGATAGCCCACAGAACTTTTGGACCGCCAACTTTCACAACGCCCATAATCACGATGAGTAGGAGCCCGAAGGTGAGCACAAACAACTGCAGCACGTCCGTCCAAACGACCGCACGAATACCGCCCTGGGCGAATGGGAACGGAGTTGTTCGGTGCGTGAGTAGAAGGGGATACAAAGTACAGGGGATCGATTTATGCTTAGGTTTACAAACAGTAAGGTGTATATGCATGTCAGCGGGGAGACGTGGCTCAAGTGGTTGGAGCGTGGTTCGAACCCGACCGCTGTTTCTGGAATTCCCCTGTCTAGACTTAGGCAACCTGGCAGTATCCCATCCCTTGTGCTAGGCAACAAAAAGGTGTTACAGCTGAACGATTTGCATTTATTATTATACGCCTGTGTGTGTCGTAGTCTGACAGACATGAGACAGTGAATAAAAAAGGTTGGAAACAGTTCAATATATAAAGCAACATAACGAATCGCTTGCTATCAAGGTGTCTGTCGGGACCGATTGAGGAGGGCGAAATAAGGTGACCAGGCCCCTTATCGGTCTTCTGCAGCCAGCTTTCAACTTTAGCGCAGACAATGAACGAGATACTAACGCTTTACTGCTCTGCTGCACAAATATCGATCACAGTGAAAAGATGAGCAGCATTCAGAAAATTCACTCAGCAGTGCCTGTCTGACCACTCTACCACCTTCACAGTCGTGTCACAAAGAACGGGAAAACTTACATCTGAAGCCACAACAGATCAAGAAGAGATTCTGTCAAGAAAACATGTTGCATCCAAACTCGAAAAGACGAGAAGTTGAAGCCAGTTATCACTTGTGTCTTTTATCAACTCAAGTATGACAAACTGGCCAACAGTAAAGGACACTACTCACACGATAGCTGAAAACTCTTCCACGGCCCACAAACCGGTTTCGCCCTTCATGGAACTCATCAGGTGGACGTAGTTCCCGAGTTTCCGTCAACCTTATGTTTTATGTGAACCCAAAATGGACTAATTTTGACAAGTACACTCATTTGCAAATCGATTTGGTTTTCACTGGAGACTCGAGTGAATCTCTTGTTTATGGTGTTCTTCAAATGAATGTGCCGCACCAGGCCGCTTCATGTTTCAGTTGGTACGATATTCGAGATATCACAGTATAATTCCATAAAGGAGCAAGAGAGAGTCACGAGTAATTCACTTGAGTCTCTCGTGAAAACCAAACTGGTTTGCAAATGGGTGTATTTGTCGAGGTCAACAGTACGTCCGGATGGTCTCCCGTGACCCCTATTGTGGTGTGACTTTCATAAGGAAACGATACATTTCACCAACATTCTTCACTCTTCATGAAAGAAGTCTAAAACTGTGAGATAAAATCCACAAACTGTATGTTCTACTTGTCATAATCCACACTAGTGGGGTCCATGCTAGTACAGTTTAACCGTCATTAGAAGACGGCGCTCAAATGATTTTAGGGCGTGTCGGAACGTGTAGTCTCTTTTCGGCAACCTGGTCACGAGCAGCTGCAGCTCTTTTTCGAACAACACTTGAGTTCATCTGATTCTACTGAGCGTGATAACCGAATATTTCGGAATTTGAGTCTCCCCTTCATCATTCAGGTCAGGGAACATCTTCGAAAAATTACTCACTGGCGGTAGAATACCGTTCAGAGCCCTATTCACTAACAGAGCACTGTTGGTTCGTAGCACAATAGTGGGCCACAAACTTGTGTAGACTCAGACGCGGTTTCACTTGATTTCTATAGGTCAATGTTTATCACTCAAACTAAACGAATTTCTCTGGTGGCGTCTGCCGCGTGACTTAAGGCGGTCGACTACAGTGAACTGTGCTCAATAGTGAAAATTTATTGTAACTCTACCAGTGCTTTGCAACTGGCATTATGCCATGTTGCCCAGACCTTGTGCTCCGTGCGTTCTGGTGAAATTTTGCTTCGCTGATCATTGGCTGCAGGGCAAGTGAGCACGCACACAGGGCACACACACAGGCGCACGCAGACAACCACACGCACTCAGGTACACGCAAATGCCAGCGCACACGCACAACGCACGCATGGGCTCAACTACACCAATCATTGGCCCAATTTCACCCAATAGGGATCAGGACAAGCCGTATGAAAGATCCAACGTAGAGGCTTGAGGGCTTGGTGCCAGACAGAAAACAGCGACGATGTACTGAGAATTTTTGCGGGAATCTTCTAAAGACAGGCGAATATTGTATACCAAACTGGAAATGACAATGATGGATGAGAAAATGTGATTTATTTCAAGATCGATGACTCAAAACAGAGCCACCAAAAAAATCCGCTTACCAGTGTTGTGTAGAATGTAGCGACCACACCAGTGGTTATGATCGACAACCACAAAGGAAGACCACTGACTGAAGAGAATGAACAATGAGGGAAAGTGAGGATATCATTTGTGTCAGTAACAGTTAGGGATGGCTCCTGAATGCCTTACACAAATCCACGTCTGCTTTATCCGGTGCTGGCGAATCACTAATTGTGGTGATAAACATCAATCTCTACCCTATTCATAACCACCACGATCGATAATTCAGAAAACCGGTCGTTCGCTGACGTGAAAAAAAAACTAATTTAATTATTGCGAAAAACCCTTAGTATTAGCTTCTACAAGTACATCTAGACATGTTCACAACTAGAAGTCGCCTACGTGTTCACGTAAGAGTTCACAAATTCTGTAAGTGAGGACGATGTGATCCATTTGGCTGCGGACTAACACAGGGTTGGAAAGTACCGAGTAAGAGGACATTACGGTTATCCCCCATCTTGGTACTACGTAAAAGCAAGTTGCGGTGAGCATGTAGCTAAGGCAGTCCGTTGACGTTGTCCGGAGGTAACGAATACAGCCACCTGTGCTAATTCTGCTCAAATGTGTATTCAAATCCTCGGAAATCACCACGATACTCGAGATTATCGCCCTCCAATAAGGGGCACTCACGATCGCACGAGAAGCTGTGTTTTATGACGTCAGAGTGACTGTCGATAGGACCGTATGAAGCTACGATAAACCAACAACGATCAACGAAATGCACACATTTGCGAACAAATTTGGTTTCTGCGAGAGATGCACCTGGAATCCAGCTAAATCTCTCGGTTGTGATGTTTCCAGGTGAGCTTCTCGCAAAACCCAATTTTGTTTGCAAATAAACGTATTTCGTTAATTTCGTGCAATTCGATTTCAAGTTGAACATCGGGGACTACGCTTACCTGATGAGCCCCAAGAAGGCCAAAACCGGCCGTGGTCTGTCGAGGAGTAGTGCATTACAACAACTATCAACTTCCAAATTTTTTTACCGAATTGGCCAAAGGGACAGTATGAGGCCACCATCAACGGTGTGAAGTCGGGCGAGGACGCTTCCACACCTACTACGTAGCCGGCGCCAGCGGCCTGTAGACCGCCAGGAGTGCACAGCTTTTAGTGAGAAAAATAAACTTTTGGTTATGAAGCCTTTAGTGCGCATCAATGAAGGCGGGCTGGCTGATGAACGCACGACAGGATCGATATCGCATAGGATTGTTTCTGGTTTTGTGTGTGTCAGGCTACTATCACAGTGTCCACGTTTAGAAGGAACGCCATAGTTCTCAAACAGAGAACACCTGACCTTGAAGGCTCCAGCAAGAAATTCCAGGTCATTCAGGGTTTGACGGACATATACCTAAAAGGAAAGCATGAAGCCTCAAGAGACTGTGCTACTCGGGTTTCCTATCAACTGACTAATCTGGCCGCAGGTTTGACACGGACGTTTCTGGGATAGTTCACTGAGTTACGGAAATTTACCAACCATCACAGCAAGGTAAGTCCCCCACCGTTCTCACAAGAGCGGAACCGTTAGACGTCTGAAGACTGAGTAGAAGGATTGTCGACGCTCTCTCCAAGAGTGAATCGAAGTGACAGACAGCTTAGCTCATTTCCGCGCAGATGGAGAAAGGTCTGTTACAAGCGATCAGAACGTCATCGTTCCAGGATGCTATTTTTCAGTGTTTCGGTTATAAGATCAGTTAAGCATAGGATTGCTAATCCGGATGATTAAAAACGTTGAAACATGCAGAATCGGGAGACTCACCTTGACTAATCGCCAGTGAAGGGGCATAGAGGACCAATGATATGTAGAACCACTAGGGTTTTTTGGTGAAATGTGATAGGAGAATCATGAAATCAGCAGCAAAGTAAGGAAAGATTATTGATCTCTCTAACGCATATTTGTAAGCGCCTTATCGACTGCAATCTATTTTGTTTTCTTCATAGTCACATCACTCTCATTTGAACGGTCGTCCTCCTGTTCTGGCATAATTATTCCGGTGAGTCCACACCAAAGGAAGCGCTGGATTCGAGTTTCACCCCCATTAGAGCTCATCAGCAGTGCATATCCAATGGCTGTGCCGGGATGTGAACCCCGGACATCTGACATGCGAGGCGAGCGTGTAACCACTACCCCACCAACGCACGTTGGACTCATCTGAATTTTTACGTCTGAACAGGCGTACGTGTTCACGCTGGAGCGATGTGACTGGTGTGCTCTACTCACCATCCAACGACGACCCAGTAACTGTGCTGGTTGTTTTCTATTGAACCGGATATCTTGATAGATAGGATAATGAGTACACGTACACAATCATCAGTGTTCACAGCAGTATCAGGTGAGAACGCTTGTTGTTCAATGCAATTCAGCATACAACTCATGGGTGTGCGTGGGCTGGGATACTGCCGTGGTGCCCACACCTGGACAAGGGGGATGACTAGGCTACTCGATCAAGGCATTTAGCTGGAAAGCTTAACCAAAGCAGACGGAGAACAGATGTTCACGGGCGGAGTAAGCAAATGATATGAGAGGCTTGGTGCACTCCCCAAAATGGCCTTGATCCACAACAAGGCCACAAGAAAATCAAATACGCTGGCAATGGATGGTTTATAACTCTACAACGGAGAAACAAACTACTGTTTGTGACCTTAAAGGGACTGACTTGCTAAAAGAACTGCTGGTGACTTACAGAATCGTGCAGAGAAGAAATTTTCAGTGTGAAAATATCTACCAGCTAGATGTCTTCTATTCCTGAGTGAAAGGCTAGTTGACCAGAGGGAAAAGTGAAGAATCAAGCCATTTCAAGAACGGGGAACGAGTGGACGTTCCTTCCTGAAGCAGAGTACGTTCTCACATAAAGGACCATTAGGCAGTGATGAAGAACTCGAAAAACGTCTTTAGACGAATCGAAGTCAGAACGATCGGGCTGACCGACAGTCGGAAAAGGACATCAAATGTCATTTCATAGTCCGGGGAACTATTCACCAAATTCAATATAATTCATTGGTTAAGGAGAGGCATTACTGACTAGGCCCGCGGTTCGAAACCAACTTCGATATCTCGACTGCCCTCGTCTGAGCCTGAAAAACCTGGCAGTATCTCCGCCCCCGATCTCCCCTCGGGTAGTATGGCAAGTAGGGACCGAAAGATTGTCGCACCTGAATGATATGATACTCTACAAATGACAGTCCCATTATGTTCTGTAAAGCCAGCCACCTGACGTAGGCGATTCGCCTTCCTTCATTTGGGCGTTGTTTTTTTCTTCCTGCTGCTCTTGGCTGGATACTCTGATGGAGTTCACTTTAGAGTTGCACAATCTTGTGAAAGCAAATTCTGACCGTCGTTCGATGTGGCCTGTATAGTCCCTCAGCGCATAGTTTTGCAGGAAAAAAAAGTCGATGGACTACCCTGAACCTCACATATTTTACTGTGTATTTGAAGATGAACTCTACGAATCATGCAAAGTCCGCCGTTTGCATCACTATCGATCGCTCAGGCAGTTTCGGACAACTAAGCAGTTTTTGGGCTATATAATTCCTGCCGATTGGATAGCAGCTTTGCATCGGAGAGCTGTCCAATAAACTATTTCGTTAGGTTCATGTATCACTTACAATTACCAGAGCAATGCACTCTCCTACTAATGAGCCACCGCAATGAGTGTACCGTCCAGCAATATTGAGTGCCACGGTATGGTGATTCCGTTTCCTCGGAAGCCTGTCCTACAGCAAACTATTGTCAACGTTTTCAACACCCTTCTTCAGCAACCGCTGAGGGGATGGGTCGGAAACGGTAGCTTGAGAGTTGAGTGTTGCAACTGGATGCTCCTTCTTCAATGAAATATATCCTCGTATAGTACTGTTGAATCGATACATGCTTTCAGTAGGTGCCAAGATCTACACATTTATGGTGGTAAATCCTCACGCTAGATCCGGCGTTTGGAAACGCTATCTTACACTTCCCTCACCGGAGAAACGTAACTTCAGTTGCATCCAAATTTTTTTAGACAGCTTTGTATGCAATAAATACTTAAGACTGGGTGACCGGTCGTCGTATTCATAATTGAGAGGCACTAATGCACGCAATGAATCTGTAGACCTACTGGTGGTCACCTCAACTACTTCATAAAATGCGTGTTGTGTGTAAGGAATTACAGGTTGTCCTGATTCAGTGTACAAGTGATAAACTTTGAATCTTGCATAATCGTGTAAAGACTCGAATTGCGCACTGTACTGCACACAACCTTTACTGTTTTCGATGAGGTTCTACACGCTACGCATAACTTTCGAATTCAGAAATACCGGGCCCTAGCAAAGTGGAGCAAAACCTTCAAAATCTTTCACTACTTTCAATTGCCAGTAGTCAAAGAGAAAATAACCCCACATTACATGACTTCCATCAGAGCCCATATGATGTGAAATGAGAGGCTGGAAACTGAATAGCGTTGTATTCTGTCTAAGGACGATTTTATCATTCTCTCAAGTGTTTAGACCACAAGCTGAAAGGCCCTGCGTTCCAGACTTCCTGGAGGTTTGTAAGATGTGCACTAATGATAATTCCGGATAAGAATGAAATGACTGCAAAGACGCAATACACTACTCAGAAGGTCGCTGAAATTTCTTCGACAGTCACCGACCGGTTTCGCCCTTCTTGGGGCTTATCAGGTGAGCGCATTCCCCTAGTTTTCGCCTACCTTATGTTCTACTTGAATTCAAATAGCACGAAATTAGCGAAATACACGAGATATTCATCTGGGTTCCAGTTGCGTCCCTCGAAAAACTAAATTAGTTTGCAGACGAATGTATTTCACTAATTGCTTTGTGCTCCCCGTCTTTTTATCACCGACTGACTTTATATGCCAGATGCATTTTTCAAAAATCCTCTATAATGTTGTATTCAAAGACTCACCATTTGAAAGCAAAATATCAGCGAGGCTATCCACCTTACGCTTTTTCCGAAGCGGAACTCTAGATACTGAGGAGAATGGAGGGAGAATTACCGCGAAAGAAAGTTAATGATAGGAAGGTAGTGCATCCACTTTATTTTGTATGTTTATTCACTCCCATTAGAAATGATTTCAGATGAAGCAACCATCAGCGCTTAAAAATGTCGTCAGAGGCTAAAATCTACTTCTCTGAAAATAATATATTTTTGAGGGTACAGTTAGTTCGACTAATCAATGTGTAGTACACTCTTCCAAAGGAAGGTTCTTCCAGGTAGCAGCCTCCTCACGGCCACAGAACCACTCATTGTCCGCCATAATTAAGTATGCTGCCTAAAACCACATCAGCCGGGGTCATCCATTCTTCCGGAAACTATCAGTCATAGTTACCACAAACAGAGTATGCTGTTGGAAGAACGGTGTAGGTTCACAGAATGAAGACTCAGAGTAGACAGGCATAAGATGATGGAAACTCCTGAGGTAAGTTTGAGCACTTAAAGTGCAAAGTCACAGATCGGAAGGTGTGTCCTTTTCATGGAAATACAACTCTTGCTGAGTCAATCTGGAAGAGACAGTCCACCCTCAGAGTGGAAGGCTTCTCCGAAGTTCAGGAAACCGTGGTTTGGAAGAACGGTGTAGGTTCACAGAATGAAGACTCAGAGTAGACAGGCATAAGATGATGGAAACTCCTGAGGTAAGTTTGAGCACTTAAAGTGCAAAGTCACAGATCGGAAGGTGTGTCCTTTTCATGGAAATACAACTCTTGCTGAGTCAATCTGGAAGAGACAGTCCACCCTCAGAGTGGAAGGCTTCTCCGAAGTTCAGGCAAACCGTGGTTGGCGCTGCTCAACCACTTGAGGCGTTTCATCTGTGTAGATTGTCCACCTCCCCCCCTAAACTGGCAGAAAACCTACTTGATTCTTTCTCAGATGTCGAATGTAGGCGTCCAGATGTTTGGACAAACCATATGGTTCTGCCACTAAGACATTTGGTTTGGATAACTTTGTTGAATAAATGAACAGAGCCTGATTGGCTGAGATTCTCTCAAATGCGTCTTGGTTCCGGAATTTTCGATAACCTAGCAAAGCAAGGCGAATCCATCAATGAATGAAGCTGGATGAACCCTTCTGATCCCAAAACCCGATGGCTCTGCAAAACATGAAGGCATATTAACAATTCCAAGTTAGTCTTTCAATGTTTCAAACGCCACGGCCCACGATGAGAGCATGGGGCATGAAAATAGGAGATGTTCTGTTAAAAAAATAGCACGCGCATCGACCTAGACACTGTATTCAACAAGTGTAAATGATCTCGACATACTACTGATGAGGTGGCTGAAAACTTTCCGAACGACAGTGGGAGTTCGAAAGTTCGAAGTTTGGAATCATAAGTTTTGAGCAAGATATTACCACAAAGGTGACGTTCCACACACTGATCAACACCTGATGTACTTTTGGCCAGGTTCACAGCGTTTCGTACATGCACCTTCATTTCGTCAGTAGGCGTGCGTCATGCGTACTCTGGCAAATTTAGGTAACATAAATTTGGCAAGCGCTTACACCACCAAAACGACACACATCTATCCATAAATGAAACTGAATGAACCCGTCTTCTGTTCGGCAGACCCGATGGCCCTGCAAAGCGTGATGGCATACTAACAATTCCGGGGGAAATACTTCAAAGTTTCAATCACCACGGCTCACAATCAGTGCATTAAATGATGAATAAGATATGTTGAGAAATACCACGCCCATCGACCTAGACACTCTAAACGACTTCAAGAAATAGGATACCCAGTGAGTTGGATTAAGCGTCAACTTGGAAAGATATTGGTTCCAGTATCCAGACTCAGTAATGAATGGATTGGCACAGCAGTCATTCCATATAAAGCAGGAGGTTATTCGAAGACTATTGAACTTAGCCAACATTCGAGTAGCTTTTCAGAAGGGAAAACGCTACGCTCAGTTTTGGTGCAATTGAAAGATCCCCTGCCGGCTGAAAGGACTGGGGACTGTGTGTACAAAATTAACTGCAACGATTGCGCTAAGGTTTATATAGGACAAACTGCCAGGGAATTGCACACCAGAATCGGTGAGCATAAAAGAAGGATTAACAAACCACCAAGGAATGCAGAAGAATACCAAACGCTGGTCAAAGACTCAGCGATGGAGGTACATAGACACGGGGCATAAATAGATTTGGAGAATGTGGAGGTTTTAAGGCGGGGACTGTGATTCACACCACAGTGACTGATAGCCGAGGCGGTGGAAAGTACTAAGCATCACAGCGTGAATAGAATCGAGGGTGTGGAACTGGCGAGCGTTTGAAAAGCGGTCTTAGATAAGCCGAGTTGACACGTGACTGTGTGGTTGTCAATCCACGCAGAATCATTAGCAAAATCAAATTCCACAGAATCTCTCTCCCTAGCACAGCTCTATTGACACAGAGACGGATGGAAAGTGCAAACGACGTTCAAGAGGGATCATTACGTGAACGGAACTAGGAGAACTAGGCCCTTGGCTGGACTCAAATCCATGTAAGTCTCCCCATCGGCCAAACACTTAACGACTCACCCTAATACAAAAAGTCCTTTGGCCGACACCTAACGGAGATTTAGTTTGACTTAGTTGATTGGTTCTCTTTCCGCCTTAAATCTCCACCAACCTAGTCTCTTAGCCTGACAAAGCTTTTGTGTCAAAAACGAAACATTGCTCAGCAATAAATTTACCGATTGTGACCAAACTTTTCCGAGAACGTTGGCTACTCAATCAGTTCCAAGCATTTTTCACCTGAAGGGACACAAGTTTTTTCCTCCACTATGACAATTCAGTTGACATCAATCTGGCAAGCGCTTGCACCATCAAATCACACCGTATCCGGGACAAGGGTTCTTGGGTTGGTGATGATCATCCGTGACAGCAAACAGCCACAATACGGTCCAGGAAAAAACATGGCCTAAGGCGAAAATGCCAGCTCTCGTCCAACTGCACACTGACAACGTATCCTCGTTTGATGAACTTCAAACTGATCTGAAAGATCGGTGGCACAATTCATAAACGGTGAGTCCCACCAGTCAGTCACATCTGTATTCTTTCCTAGGCT